GTAACGCATTCCCCTTTGACAAAAAAAGGGCATCAATGGTTACAGGGAAGTAAACAATTATCATAATTGATGTATCAAAGCGAAAATTAACTAAATAATAAATAAAATATGAACCAGAAAGCGTTCAAACTAACCTTAGGTATTGTTTAACCAAAAAGATCATTCATCGTCATCATCCTCCTTATCCTACTCCCGTCGGATCGGCGCAATAGCTTTTTGTCTTCCACATAACTCTATCATAAGTCATCTCAGTCATCACTCCCTTTTTGATCATGTCAACTTTCACCCAATCCATCCATCTCTTTCTAGGTCTACCTCTACCGGTGTACCCTTCCACACTCATAACTAACGTCCTCCTTGTAACATCTGATTCATCCCTCCTCATAACATGCCCATACCATGCCAACCTTTTACTTCTTACCTTCTCTACTAAACTACCAAAAAATGGTTAATTTACTTTTATGTCTCAATATTAGGCAATCAGACGTAGAAGCGCCAGCATACGTTCCCTCATACGCGAGAAACCATCCGAGTGGATATTCGTCGCATGTTTACACGAAAACCGGATACACTGGCACCAAGACCGGTTATCGTGGCACTAAAACTGGTTACACTGGCACCAAAACCGGAAATTACGCTTGGTCCCCCCCAGGATATGGTTCTTCAAGTACTGGGTTGTCGCCCTTCGGTGGATACACGGAGAGAAAACCTTGGGTTTCTGCGTAAGTATATTTGTCTTTAATTATTATATTGATGGCTTTATTGATTTTAATAAAAGGATATCTGAAATACGAACCTAACTTACTAAAAAGTTTATAAATTACGAGTAAGCAGTAATGGTAGATTATCAAGTACCTTTGATGTGTGACAAGAATGGATTAAATTAAGAACGTGTATATTAGAGGAAGTTTGAAAGTAGCGCCAGTGGTGGAGAAATTGAGAAGCAAAAGGTTAGAGTGGTATGGACATGTTAGCGACGAGACGATGGGGACATAAACCAGAAAGTGTTAAGAATGAATGTGGACGGCTACAAAGAAAGAGGAAGACCAAAGAAAGTATGGATGGATTGTGTGAAAGAGGATATGCTTAAGAAAGGAGTGAATTCAAATATGACGGCTGATAGAGATGTATGGAAGAGCAGCACATACTGTGCCGACCCTCCACTTCGGATAAGGGCAAGTTGATGATGATGGTCCAGTACCTTTGTTTTGATAACTTTATTTAATTCTGTACGATTTTTTCAGGCCAAACTACGATCACTTTAATGTCTACCCGAAAGCTGTTTTTCAACGTAAGTATGGTCATTAAAATATAAGATAAGCCATCACATAAGTCATTAATATTTTTCACGCAATTCTCGACATCTTAACATAAATATAGACTATTTAAATATTATTTGATACTTTATTGCAGTCTATCTAACTATAGATATTGGTCATCTGCTCTTGGGATTCCCCACATTTGTTGTACAGACGTACTGGTTATGGGTTTAACCAAGTCTCTACAGTTAAAGTGTATGGTACCGTGACTAAGAAAGTATAACAACTAACAAATTAGGGGAGCACAGACATAAGAACCTCAAAGACATGTATATACTTACAGATAAATTACCTTTCTAATGATGAAATTATAAATATTTTTGGGTGAATCAAATACATACATAAATGCAAAAATCGAAATCTTTCATCTTTATAATATTATTATAGATAACAACTCCACACGTAAAATCATACTTACAGTTAAAATGCGAATGTTTAGATGGATATATTTGTATGTTTGTTATTTCATGTCTCCAAAAAGATCTCCATGATATTCGGAATGATGTAGAGCATAGTCTGGAAGTATACATATGTCAATTACTATGTTTATCTTTTATATTCTGTGCGAACGTAATCGCAGACAAAGCGTTGCCCTAGCCGTTATTTAGATAACAACAATACTGTTCTTTTGAATATGCTCGATACAAGATTTCTTTCCAATCATTATTTTCTCACTTATTGAACTCCTGCTCATTCTATTCCGCAATACATTTATCTAATACCCGCGTAACATTATCAACACAAAACATTAAAATACCTATTAATTTTAAATTTTGATTCAACAAAAATAAACGCAAAAAATAATATCAATTTGCGTGGGATTGGACTTATCTAAAATAACGGAAACTTGTTTAAATCTGTTGTTTAGCGCACATCCCGATTTGCACATTTAGACGACCTATTTAACCCTCCAGTTTACTGATAATATGCATATTGTTGCTATTGATAAATGCTGTGGGTCAGGGTTAATTTTATTTTTTAAATTTAACTTTACAAGCAGATTTTAAAAAGAATGCAATAATTTATGACAATTCGAATTATTCGACATATTGATTTACGTTTGCAAAAGACAGGGTCTTAAAGATTTCGGAATAATCTCATTTTGAAGAACATTTGCTTTACGTTTAGAAATGGTTTGTCATATTCACGTAATACACTCACTCGGTTCTTACTCACAGCTTGGACAATAGAAACTAGAATTCTTAACTACGCCGTCCAAGGGAATATGTTTGGAAAACTATGTGAATCATATTTCATTGAATTTAATAGACGTATGTTTTGGTTTATAGCAAAATGCGACATCGAGTGCAAGAACAACGGCATCTGTGTGGACACGAACGTGTGCAACTGCCCAGCCAACTTCCACGGAAAATATTGCGAGTTTGAGAAGAAACCTTGCCTTGCATACCCACCTCTGCCTATGAACTCGCATAGAAAATGCTCTTCTGAGTTAGTACACACTATATTACCACACTCAACTTGATGCTTACTAACGTAGTCTAGTGTATATCAGTTTTGAAAAAATTTAATCACTCTTTATTATTGTAACTGTAACATCTACTAGTTTATTAGTAATTACTCAATGATAACATAGTTTTTTAATGGTGAAAGAATTTTTTGAATTTGTCCACTACTTTTTGACTTATTTCGATACATACAAAAATACAAATCTTTCTATAATGTTGCTCGCGACTTTGCCCGCGTGAAATTAAAAAATATAGCATATGTTACTCACAGATAAATTAACTTTTTAACGATGAAAGAATTTTTTTAATCGGCCCAGTAGTTTTTGAGTTATTTTTATACATACAAAAATACAGATCTTTATAATATTAGTATAACTACATGGATAAATTCGGCTGGTTGCAGCCATTGAAGCAGTAGGTCCTTACTAAAATATAACTTAATCTAGGCTCTGTACGGTCACTTGTATGACTGGACATAAGTTTATCGATGGCACCACCGTCGCTAACATGCGCTGCGTCAACGGCGAGTGGCAGCCGACGCGGGCCGATTTCTCATCCATACCTGACTGCATCCCCGAGTGCGATCCTCCCTGTCTCAATGGAGGGGTGTGCTTGTCACTTAATACTTGCCAGTGCTCCGCGGCGTACAGAGGGCCTCAGTGTCAATACTGTAAGTACCTATTCTCTACTCTTAAAGCTCTTGTAATATTGTTTGTTTGATAAACAATATGGGGTTTTGATATGTATTACGAAAATTTCTCTCTATTGAAAATTTAAAATTTATGCGTGTTATTTTGCTTATAGCGTTGAGGAAATCTTCCATATTAAGTAAACATTATCTATTCCTTTTTTAGTCTACTATTTCATCAATAATATCAATTTTCAGCGGCAACCGCCTGCGATATCCGCAAACTGGCGTTCAACGGCGGCTACAACTGCTCCGGCGACGGCGAGCGATTCTCCTGCTCGTTGAGCTGCCCGCCGCAAGCTGGCTTCAGTTCCCCGCCCGCGGCCATATACACCTGCCTTTACTCCACCGGCGTCTTCTTGCCGCAACCCATACCACACTGCACCTTCAGTAAGTCCTACTATCATTGTATGACCAATTTATCTATTAACGTTTGCTACCTTTTACTGTAATAGTGATAACCTTATTCTTCCTTAAGTCTACACGATATTATGGGATCTTAATAGGTCTAGGCTTGGTTTAGAAATTTCTTTCATCTCTGCCTATAGTATTGTAATTCACTATTTACGTTAATTGTCCAAATATATGTCCAATTCCATGATAATCTGTTTCCTAGGATAGTTATGTTTCTGTCATCAGAAACTTTCATAAGTACAAAAAGGTTATTATATATTTTTTTTTCTACAGACGAGGTGATTGTAATCACGCCCAGCAACCGTCCCAGCGGTCGTAACAGAGTAAGTAAAAGCATTAAAGGCGAAATATGCTTACGTATTAGTCTTTTCTCCGTGAAGTAAAATATATTAACTAATAAGTAAAAATGTTTGCAAAACGTGCATTATTCTTCATTAGCCAATGCATCTAAGTGTTATTTATGTACAGGGAGATATACCCGATAACAACACGGAGATTGAGGGTGAGTCTTTTATCCACGAGTCTACCACCTTCGGCTCCGGGAAGCATCCTGCAGGGAATCAGATAATCGTCGTACAGGACTTAATCCCCAAAGGTGGCAGCTGTCTGTCTTGGGCCGGAATGCACTATAAGACGTTCGACGGAAAGATATATAGGTAAATATTTTACTTGATTTAATAGTCCAAAAATCCAGTATAGTCCGAGGCGTAATTTCAGTCTCTTTCCACCCTTTTCTTAAGAGGATATCGATGGGAAGGAAAAGTGGATTTGATGATGGAGATGTACAGGAAGGGGAAATATCCTCTTTATGTACATCTTGTCCATCGATTAAGGGTAGGCAACGTATCTGCAATTGCGGATGTCTATAGGCAGCGGTCGCTTCACCATTTCAGGTGACCGCTTGCTCGTTTGTCAAGTTATTAAAATAAAGAAAAAAAAGCTAATCTATAATTATTTTTTTAATAAATAAGATATCAGAGATATATGTGTTTGTTTTCAGTTTCCAGTCGCCTTGCCAGCACATTCTAGTCCGAGATGCAGAAGAAGATAAATACACTGTTGCGGTGAGACATCCAGAGTGCAAGAACTTGGCCTATTGCCCTTCAGAACTGGTTGTTTATATCAACGATAAATTGTATTCCCTTAGTGTTGGAGGTAGGACATTTGATCCTTACGTTTTTCAATATTGATTTTTTTCTCTGTATTAATTCGTTTGTATTGCAGAGGAAGGAGCTGTGCTGTTCCGTTCGACAAAACGTCTGATCCCAATGCCGGCGTCACTGCCCGGCATCCGCGTCTCCATGCCTAGTGACCAAGTGTTTGTTAACCTAGATGCTTTAGGTGTTACCATTAAATGGGATACAAATGTTAGTAAAATCGCAATTTTTTTTAAGCTTTTAATTTCATTTTTTGTGACCATCTAAGAATAATTTACAATTTCAGAATTTAATTGTGATCGAAGGGTCAGTACTTTTATGGAATAAGACAAAGGGTCTTTGTGGGACGTTGGATGGAAATCCAGAGAATGACTTTTTGACCAAAGACGGTACGATAGCAAGGACTAAATCTATGATGGTGACTTCTTGGCAACTCAATAAAATCGGAGGTAAATGGCATTGTAAACAATATCCAATAAGATTGATTGATGGTATATTTTATAGGACTTATAAAATTTTACTAGTTACAAGTTTTATGTTCTTTTTGTAGATATTTGTGAAAGCAGTCCTTCAGAAAGTACCGCGTGTGCTTCTAAAACTGACGCTGATATGCGAAGAGCTATTCAGTTCTGCAATAAAGTCTTTAGTAAAGATAAATTTAGGAAATGCTCTAAGGTGAGATAACATTGTACATTTTGCAGGCTTTATAATATGAGAAGTGTTTAGTCAACTTCTGTCTTACAATATTCAATGTTGTAGGTAATGGACGTATCTTTGCTCCTGGAAGCCTGTCAATGGGATTACTGCGCATGCACAACAAGTTTAAGTAAGTTTTGTTCATATTGGTGGTGAATTTTACTTTCAATATAAATTTCTTTTTTATTTAATAAACAAAATATCAATATGTTTAGGTCCGGAAGAATGTGCTTGCAAAACAGTATCTGTGTACGCGAAAGAATGTCTTCGTCACGGAATCGAGGAGATGGTTGCTTGGAGAGACTCTGATACTTGTCGTAAGTGATAATTTGATTCCTGAAGTAATAGATATTTTAAGACATTGAGTAACGAATCTATTATTTCAGCTATGCAGTGTCCTGATGGCAAAGTTTACAAAGCTTGTGGTCTCGATGTGCAGCCCAGTTGTGCTTTCCCTCTAGCAACTGCAACATCAGTCAATAATTCATGCGTCGAAGGTTGTTTCTGTCCCGAAGGACTCTTATTGGAAGGTGGTCGGTGTATTCCTAAGTCCGAATGTCCTTGCAGGATTAGAAATCAAAGCTTCAAACCTGGATCAGTTGTACCAAAGAGTTGTAATACTTGGTAAGATTGTTACATTACACAAACATTTTGTTTAACAAAAGTCAGTTAAGGGCTTGTACAATCACTACCACTAGTTTTTGTTTTGTTGTTAAAAATGTGTTTCTTTCCTAGTACTTGTCAAGCGGGAGAATGGACTTGTACTCAAGTGCCGTGCGGCGCGCGCTGCAGCGCAGTCGGTGACCCTCATTACACCACCTTCGATGGACTACGCTACGACTTTATGGGGACATGCACTTACACCCTGCTACAGACTGACAACGTTACTGTCGAAGTGGAAAATGTTGCTTGCTCGGGATCAATAACTGAGGTAAAATTAAACTCACGGACGTTGCCAGTGGATGGTTAAGGCTTTGTCTAAATGTTGTCTATTATTATTGGAATTTCCGGGAACATTTATGAAATACGTAAATTAGTGCTAAGCATAATAACAGAATGTTTAATACGTTTTAGGCTATGAACCTGGCGCCGTACAAAGGCGAAGGGAAGCCATCTTGCACGAAAGCAGTTAGCATAGTTTACAAGGGAGCCAACATACATATGAAACAAGGCGGGTTCATCCTCGTCAACGGCAAGGAGGTCTCCTCGCTGCCGGTCAATGTCGGCGACATCAGGATTAGGGCAGCGTCGTCATTGTTTGTAATAGGTAAATAGAAAACAGAACTAGACAATAATTTGACTGTAATCCAAAATACAAATTTATTATTTTTTCCACGTGTTTGAGTAAAAGCAAAACGCGACTTTACAAAAATGATTCAGTGATATGTGATCATAATTTTAGAAAATAGAAAAGTCTACTGAGGTTTTTTATCTGTTTTTTGTTTCAGTTCAACTACCAATTAAAGTAGACCTATGGTGGGATGGAAATACTAGAGTATTTGTTGATGTACCACCGGAATTCCATCAACAGACTAAGGTTTGATTTTATACTATGTTTATGGATCATTACATTAATTTAAAAACTCTAAATTTATGTTTTTACTCTTTGTGCAACTGTTATAATATATCTTGCTATAATCGTTACCAGGGTCTTTGCGGAACATTCAATTTGAATCAAAAAGACGATTTCCTGACACCTGAAGGAGACGTGGAACAATCAGCTTTCGCATTTGCCAACAAATGGAAGACCAGGGAGTTCTGTAACGACATCGCCACTAAAGAACCTGAGAACCCTTGCCACGCTAATGTTGAAAATAAGGAAGCCGCTGAGAAATACTGCAGCATATTGAAGAGTGCCTTATTTGAATGTGAGTCGTTTTTAGGACTTTTTTTAATTGAATTTGATTTGATTAGAATTATACAGTAAATAAGAGAAGGATATAAATGTACGAGATAGGATAGTATTAGCCGAGTAAAAAAGGTTTGCCGATGATTTCCCTACTAACACCGCCTGCGTCCTATTCGAGTTAAAGGTAACTTGCGATCTTTAACAGTTCTTCAATTTTTATGAAATCATCCAATCCGTCAATCGTGTTCCAGCTTGCCACTGGTACGTGGATGTGCAGCCGTACTACGAGAACTGCCTATACGACATGTGCGCGTGCAGTGGCGACGTGTCCCGCTGCCTGTGCCCCATGCTCGGAGACTA